GATGAGTATGCAACATGGTTTTCATCAGTTTAATTCATTGATTAGTACGAAGGCTTAGGAAATTTTTAACACAAACTTTTCTCCTGTGATGTTTTCCCATTAACATAGCAAGTTATACAATACGAACATAACACTAACCCTAATACACAAGGTTTAATAGAGTTGACCGGCTTGACTTGATGACTTGACTTGACTCAAGATTGACGATTGTCACACCAACAAGCTTCTCCTTGGACCTCCCAAGTCCTTCTCCTTCTTCTTCTTCTTCAAAGCTTGCAAATTACTTCCCCAAGGCTAGATCTTGCTCCAAAAACGAATATGACGGCTAGGGTTTGGTGTTCTAGGTGAGAGGGGCTGGAAATGAGTCCTGGGGAAGAGAATAAGATGCTTAAATAGGGTACCAAGTCCTGAAATTAGGGTTTCCCAACCCAGACCAGACTCGCCGAGTCGGTCACTTACTTTACACCAGGATCCCGCTCCGACTCGCCGAGTTCCTACCTGGACTCGACGAGTTGACCCTCTTTAACTTATGGTTTTCCTTTCCTTTCTTGACCTTTCTAATTTCGGGTGTTACTCCGCTGCTACAACAAAATTCACCACAATGGCAACAACAGTAGCGTGCGGTACCACCAAAATCGCAAGAGCAGATGCACATGCACCTCATTAGTGTAATATAATGATCATCCCTTTTACCTTCAATAGTGTATTACATTTTGTTAGATTAAGTTTATACCAAAGAATCATACGGGTGTATTTGGTTTACTCTTTTCTTACCCTGTTGAAATATGATTTTTGTTGTTTCCTTCTATTATTGTAGCAGATTCTACCACAGGATCAGCAACAACAACTGTAGGCAGCACCACCAGAATTGCGGTGTGTCATAAGTGTAATGTAATTTCATCAAATTTAGCATATCATGCTTTTTTAGATTAAAATTAAACTGTATACATTTTTTTAAATCTTGCAACAATGATCACTTGAACATTACTCAAAAGCCGTCGTTTTTTTAATGTAATTTCATCAAATTTAGCATATCATGCTTTTTAGATTTAAATTAAACTGTATACATTTTTTAAATCTTGCAACAATGATCACTTGAACATTAATCAAAAGGCGTCATTTCAATTCTTCATATCTAGGTGGTAAAATCACTAAATAGCAATGTACTTTCAACTAGCCCATTTTTTTGGTTTTCGCAATTTCTTTTGATCTTCTTCGCCAAAAACTAAAGTACATTGCCATTTTATGTATTTTCCATATTTACGTTGTAAAGGCACTAAATAGCAATGTACTTTGAATTTACATCTTTTTTTTAATTTTTACAATTTTTTTCATTTTTTTACCAAAAACCAAAATACATTGCTATTTGTTGCATTTTTTTTCATATGTAGGTGGCAAAAGCACTAAATAGCAGCAAACTTTCTATTTTAACTTTTTTTTTTTGGTTTTTGTAATTTGTTTTCATTTCCTTTACCAAAAGCCAATGTATATTGCCATTTGATCCATTTTCCATTTTTACGTGGCACCTACACTGAATAGCGATGTACTTTGAATTTACATCTTTTTTTGGTTTATGCAATTTGTTTTCATTTTTTCCCCAAAAATCAAAATATATTGCTATTTGTTGCAATTTTAACCAAGATACATTAGCTACATTTCCCTTTTTCCATATTTAAATAGTAAATACACTAGATAATGGAAGCATGCTGTTATTTATTGCATTCAATACACTTTTTGTGTCGTTTGCAGGCTGATTTATAGACCAAAAACATTGTTGATATTTGTGGATCTATTGAAGACTTCGATATAATGAAATACGGATTTTTCCTTACCATTGTACTAGAATAACAACATACTTTACTGTGGCTAACAATTCAGAAAATGTACTATAGTTTCACAGAAAAGCACAAAAACCTTCCGACCCCCGCAACACTGGGAAACCTTACTAGTATATATATATTAAAACAAAAGTTCTTAGGAATAGTATACTTTTTGTGTTTCATATTTTTGACACAAAAGTTTTTTGTTTGAGATTTTGGCCTTAAGAAGATTTAAGAATAGTATAGTTTTTTTGTTTCACGCTTTTACCATAGAAGTTTTCTATTTTAGATTTTGACGGTAAGACTTTCTTATTTTAGATTTTGGTCATAAGATTTTTCTATGTTGGTAAGTTTTATTACTGGAATTTCATATGTTGACACTTTCCACGCTACTTTGTATAACGATATTTTTCACTCATTTACTTTGTAAAATATCATTTTTATCCGGTTAATTTTAAACAATATTTTCCACCTTTTACCTTTCATAAATCGTTTTGTAAGAATTATTGCTATTCCTCCACCGTAATTTAAAACATGCTTACATCCACAGAAAAATACCTATAAAATAAAATTAACACTAAATCAAATTACGCCATCTTCCTCGCAAACGGTGCACATAGTAAGCAAAACTTCACATAGGTCCCTCACAAAATGTGGAGAGAGCAATTTCTAGTATATAATTAATTTTAAATTTTCAATTCATGTCGAGAACCCTTTAAAAACATATTATATCTATTTTTCGAAATATTTATTCAGAATAAATGTTTATTAATCTCCCGGAATTGGCGTATATAATTCTCTTTGAACTCCCTTAAAAATACGACTAATATAGTTCAATATGTTTATTTACATATTTTATAACTTTATAATAGAAAAAATGATTTGGTCGCCAGATTAAATCCCAACGACCGAAGTTCAATCTTAGTATAGGTAACCAAATATATATTTCAATATGAATTTATATCATGCTTTTATGTGATCAAATCTCTTACATAATTACAAACTGACCTACATATATTAACATATAGAAAATAATAAGTTATAGAAGATTGCCATATACATGTAACAAATATTTGTAAAAATGGCAACACCCTTAATTATAATATCTTGAAAATTTTTATATTACATTCCATGTTTTCTCGCACGTAGACTATGAGACGTGCAATTATGCCACTGTTCCCACAGACGCGGCTTTCCGACAAACAAAAAGATTGTTGACAACTGTTACTACGGTGTTGACTGATCTGAAGAGACCCTTAACGTTTAAGACCATGTGCAATATCAACCCTAATAAACCATATTTTAACAACTACATGTCCATCAATAAGACAATAACCACTGGATACTTCCAAAAGGTATTTCATACTTTCAAACTTTAATACGCAAATATCATTGTTGTAAAATATAATTTTATAATTAATATTCAGAAATATATTATTATATTATTATAACTAACTATAAGATTATATTTTGTACATGAAAATGATATAAACATAGTAATAATTATGAACAATGTAATAAAAACGACATTTATTAAAACTGCAAAATGATTTATATCGTTTGGGTTAAATATAATTTACGATTTGTGTTCAATAACACTTTTAAAATAAGAAAGTAATTATAATTATATCAACTCAAAAGTTTGTAGCATAAAAAATGACGGTAGTTTATATCTAAAAAATATTAGCTAAAAAAATTAAATATATTAAATAAAAAAAAAAACTAAATAGTTAATATTAAAATTAAATTATAAACAAGTTTAATGTATTAAAAATCCAATCATTGTGATTCGAGATAACTCTCTTTATTTTGAAGAAATGAAAATGCAAATGAAAATAATGGTCTTTTATATAAGATAACATAGTTGTGTCTCGTTGGTTATACTTATACATGATTATAATTATATTGTAAAAATATTAAGGATCTTAGACTAATATTATATGAAAAGCAAAATCTTTTCTTTAATAATTTACAACGCAATTAAAATAAAAATATATAAATAAATACAAGAAATAAGAGATGATAATGGAAATAAGTCAATAACCTACTTTATAGGTGTCCAATGTTTGAACTTGAGACGTGCAATTCATAGGGTCCTCACCTGTTATCTAAAATTCTTAAAATTTAAAAATATATGATGTTAGATGAAGTACTTCTATTCAGTGGCGGACGCAGACTGTTTTAATAGGGGTGTCCCTCGTACTTCAAGCGGGTGCACGTAATAGAAAAAAAAATAAATAAAAATAAAAATAAATAAAAATAAAAATAAATTATACTGCGTGTCGGAAATTGAGCAGTGGTCCAGGACCCCAAATGCCCTACATAGGTCCGCACTGCTTCTATTTATATATTATTTAATAATGAAAAGAAATTATATTTTATAAATTTAATAAGTAATTCTTGTATAGTAAAACAACTTAAAGAAAAGAAATCATTTTTCAATTGATCAATTAAGCACCATTAATTAAATAAAATTCATGGCCACATACGTGTAATCAATCGATCAGTGTGTTTATAAACACAAACTAACAATCAATGTGTTTATAAACGCAAAGTAATATTTTGAAAGTGACTTTATAATTTACGGATTGATTGGTGAAAGTTTAATAGTTCAATTAATAAATGTGTTAATTGGTATTAATTAATAATTCATTTGTTAGACATTTTTTCAAAAGAAATGTAGGGTTAGAAGTTTAAGATTAGCTTTAACACATTAAAATATTAAATTTACAATAGAAAATATTTATTTTAAGAATACTAAATTCAGAATCAGAAAACAGAAATGTTAGTCCTTTCTTGATATGTTTTATTAAAAAAAAAAAAAAAAAAGTTTATTTTACAAAGTGATCGAGTAATCACTTTTATTAATAACCTCATTAACGGTGATTAGTTTAGTTAATAACCTAGAATACAAACGTTTAAGAAGGTTGGGTCTCGGAGCTTCTAGAGAAAACTACATTTAGAATTTAATTTGAAATAATATGATTTTACGAGGTGTAAAGTGCAAACTGATATAAAGTTGAAGGCGTTTCTTCTTCACAAAAAACTGTGTCGTCCTTTTTAAAATTAGTTGGTGCTTTGCCTTTGATGATTCATCACCTTGCTTTGTGCACCGTTCCCGAAGAATAATAATTTAATCTGACGCTTTCGATTTAAATTCTTCGAACATTGTTGATTGTAATGGACAAATTCAGAAAGTCTTTCAACAAATCTCCCCAACACGAACCACAGATCGAGCTTGAAGAAAAGCAAATCCTGCTTCACGTGAACGATAACGCCGTCGATCAGTTTCCATCAGCTACTATGTCTTCCTCTCTGCCACTTCCGGATTCCGGCGAACGCCGGAGAGATACAGGTAAAGGTACAAACGGTAATGTCGATCTTATAAAAGAAGCAGAGCTGGCGTCATACAAGTTCAACTCTGTTGTGGACCAACAAAACCCTAACAAAGTTTGGAGAGAATCAAGTTACGATTTCTCGAAAAACAATGATAACTTTGATTTCATGACTTCTGATACGCCATCGACGCAACAGTCTACCCCGTTATCAAGGATAGCCGAAAGTCCGAGTAACTACGGCATGCTCTCGCCTAAGGAAGTTAGGGTTTCGTTTCATGATGAGGTGATTGAGCCACAGCCTCTACGGCAGAGGTCCAATGGTAGTGGTAGTGGTCGTGGCGGCGGCGGCGGCGGTGAAGAAGTGTTGATTTGCTCCTCGAATGCTTCGTTTAAGAGAAAATCGAGCTTAATGCGGACGAAAACGAAGTCTAGATTAATGGATCCACCGGAGATAGATCAGAGGTCCGGTAGACAATCGAAGTCGGGAATTTTAGGGAAAGGTGGTAGTGAAATCGACGAAGACGATCCGTTTTTGGACGATGATTTACCTGATGAATATAAGCAAATAAGGTATAACAAATGGACTTTACTTCAGCTATTCGGTTTAATCCTCATTCTTGCTGCTTTAATTTGTTCTCTCACAATTCCTTATTTCAAGAACAAGGAAATCTATGATCTTGTGTTGTGGAAATGGGGGGTTATGATGTTGGTTTTGATCAGTGGACGATTGGTTTCAGGGTGGGCGATTAGGGTTCTTGTAAACTTGATAGAAGGAAACTTCTTACTTCGGAAAAAAGTTTTATATTTCGTGTATGGATTACGAAAAGCAGTTCAAAATTGTGTTTGGTTAACTTTAGTTCTAATCGCTTGGCAATGCATATTTGATAAAAAAGTGGAACGAATGGCACATGGGAAGGTTTTGCCTTATGTGACAAAGATTTGGATATGTCTTTTAGTGGGGACAATCGTTTGGCTATTGAAAACATTATTAGTCAAAGTTCTTGCATCTTCTTTCCATGTGAGCACGTTTTTTGATCGGATTCAAGAATCTTTATTCAATCAATATGTAATCGAAACCCTTTCGGGCCCACCCGTGATTGAGATCCAACAAGTACAGGAAGAGGAGGATCGAATGATGGCAGAGGTTCAAAAGCTTCAGAATGCTGGTGCCATTTTGCCACCCGATCTTAAGGCGAATATATTCAAGAAAAGTGGAAGGTTTATAGGCACTTCAAGAACCAGTACTCCCATGGCTGGTAAAAGTGGTAAATTTTCTGAAGCTAACACGCCTAAAAAGGCTGAAGAGGGGATCACAATTGATCACTTGCATAGGTTAAATCAGAAGAATATATCGGCTTGGAATATGAAAAGATTAATGAATATTGTTAGAACAGGAGTTTTGTCTACTTTAGATGAACAACTTGAGGGTGCAACAGGTGATGAAGATGAGTCTGCAGTGCAGATCACAAACGAAAAACAAGCCAAAATTGCAGCCAAGAAAATATTTTGTAATGTCGCTAAGCAAGGCTCCAAGTAACTTCTTAATCCTATTTTGAAACCTTAACTTTTATCCATTATTCCATTATCAAACATCTTTTCACTATATCGTTTTTTTTTAAAACCTCCACAGGCGTATTTATCTAGAGGATTTAATGCGTTTTCTGAGAGACGATGAAGCTTTGAAGGCGATTCGACTCTTTGATAGTGATTGTGAAACCAAAGGAATTAGCAAGGCACTTCTCAAGAATTGGGTGGTAAGTCCTTTTTTTTTTTTTTTTTTTTTTTATTTTTTTTCCATAATCAACTTTTTTTTTTCCATATTTAATGATGATTTAATTTATGAATTGAAAAAAAAAAAAAACGTTTGTTTATCCAGGTTAAAGTATTCCGAGAGCGAAGAGCTCTTGCATTATCTCTGAATGACACAAAAACAGCTGTAAACAAACTCCATCAAATGCTGAATATAGCTGTCGGGATCTTAATAATCGTGATCTGGCTTCTTATACTTAAAGTTGCAAGCACGCATTTCTTCATATTCCTAAGCTCACAACTCCTTTTAGTTGTGTTTGTGTTTGGTAACACATGCAAGACGACATTCGAAGCCATTATTTTCTTGTTCGTAATGCATCCGTTCGATGTCGGTGATCGTTGCGAGGTCGATAGTGTTCAGGTAAACATAAAAAAACAACAACATACCTTCATTTATATCTATATACATCTACACCATTATCATGGTTGTAATTTTCGATATTGTGGCATTGCAGATGGTAGTTGAGGAGATGAATATATTGACCACAGTTTTCTTGAGGTTCGACAACCAAAAAATTATATATCCAAACAGTGTCTTGGCCACAAAACCAATCGCCAATTACTACCGTAGTCCCGATATGGGAGATGCTGTTGAGTTCTGTATCCACGTATCAACCCCTAGCGAAAAGATTACTCTCATGAAGGAGAGGATAACAAGGTACATCTTTTTGTCTGAATACAAGCAAATGACTATTTTACCCTTCTATTTGATAAATCGTGAATTAACAATTTGTTGGGATTGCAGCTATATTGAGAAGAAGAGCGACCATTGGTACCCGGCGCCTATGATTGTGTTGAGGGATGTAGAGGACATGAATCGGTTAAAGATATCGATATGGCTTTCACATCGTATGAACTTCCAAGACATGGGTGAAAGATGGCAACGAAGAGCTCTTTTAGTTGAGGAAATGATTAAAGTTTTTAGAGAGCTGGATGTTGAATACCGCATGCTGCCTGTTGACATCAATGTCCGTAACTTGCCGAATGTGACATCGAATCGGCTTCCATCCACGTGGAATACTTTGGCAAACTGATATAGATATGTCTCAAGTGAGGTACATGACCTGTTTATTGATGAAGGCGTTAGGTCTAATTTTGCAGTGCGTTGTACGCTATGATCTTGTGGTTTGATACTTTAGATGTTGCGATATTTTGATGTATATACAGATAACATAAGGAATTCTTGGAGCCCATTCCCTTAGGCACGTTTGTTCCATATATGATCAATTTTGTGGGTCGTATGTTTTTTTAATTATATACATTGACGTTCTTATTAAAAAGTCATCCTTATAATTTTAATTTTAATTTTTTTTCTAGACCTATCTTTGAGAAATAGGATTTTTAGTAGGTAAAAATGCTTCATCAAGTTGTAGTGGCTTTTACGAAAAGGTTCGGGGTTCACTTTTTCTCACGTACAAAAAATATTGATCGTTTATCATTTTTTATAAAATAAATTGAATACATCTTTAGTGGTTTTTTCGGATTCAAGTATGGGATTTTCTAAAGAATGATAAAACATAGGATAATGACAAAAACCCTTAGTTTGGTTTGGGAGGAATATATGGATTTACTTTTAGCAGATGGATATTTACAAATTTTTTTTTTTTTTCTTTTCATTTTTGTCTTTTGAGTATTTATGGTTCATTAAACCCTTCTATTTTGACAAAAATGTTCCGTTTTATATTTTTTTTGGTTCATAAAAGTCTTTAAGTTTGGCTTTTTTTGGTTCATTAAATTTCTTAAGTTTGAAAAAACTATTCGGTTTTGCCAGTAATTATGCAGAAATTGTAAAATTGAGGAAAAAAAAAAAGTTATAAGAATCTGGCATTAGTGAACCCAAAATCCAAGAAATGATAAATCCATACTTTCTGCAAAATTTAAGAGTTTTCTTATCATTACCCTAAAAGATACTATGTTTTTTAAATGGATGTTTAATAACCTTTATATTATTATTTTATTATAAATTATAATCTTAGTATATTCTTTATGTTTGTAACAGAATTAACATATGGCATCCGTTGTCGAGCAAAGATAACTTACTATAATTTTATTATATTTTTAGTATCTAATCGAAAGATAATATTTGACCTTGGTTGTCAAGCAGAAAAGTCTATTCACGAGAGAATATAGTTGTCAAGCATGAGAATCATACTGTAGTTTTACAATATTTTATCAATATGATCCGATTATGGTAAAATAATACTCAAATTATCTAAGACAAAAAATAATTTAATAATACAACAAGATTACAGTAAGCTAATACATATTGTTTGATCCGCATTCTAGATTAGATAGAGAAAACACAATTAAGCTAAGTATATAACACTATTTAATCCATAGTCGACTCATTTGGGTTACTAAACTAAGTTAACTATTTGACCTTTAAATCTTCTTCACATCTCCTTATAAGACTAATGGAAGCATCCAAGACCAAGATTGGACAATTTGGCATCATCATATTTAGATTGAGTCACAGTATCACACAAGCCATGTGAACTAACAAATAATTTCACACGGTAGCCATGTGAACTAACAAATAATTTCACACGGTTGTGTAAGCATTCGGACATGCCCATTTTATGTAGAAATACCAAAAAATAATACTACTATTTTGCCAACTTGCTCCAAATTCATTTTGATCAAATTTTAATGAGCCATATTGATTATAATGGTCTCAAAACTTAACATGAAATATCATCCTATAACACAATTAGATAAACCAAGTCATTAATTAAAGAGGTGATGATTTCCATCGCGTTACATAAAGTTTTAAGACTCTAAATTTGACCACTAACTTGGTTTCTCTTCTATGATTTAAACTTGGAACATTCGAATGAACTCCAAATCAAAATTGAACTCTTATTTTATAACTAGAGCGTCTTTTACATGAATCGAAGGATCACTCACCGTTGTTAGGACCCAAATTCATTAGAGCACCATCAACTCCAAATTTCACTCAAATAATGGATTCATCTCTTTTGTCCAAATTAAATCACTCAAATATAACCTTAAAAAATCTAAATTAAATCATATCAAAACACTGAAACCACAATCAAATTCGGATCTTCGGTGGTTCATCAAAGCTAGGGCTAGTTACACATTTATGTTTCATAAACCCCGAAATTGACTAGATAGATTGATTAGCTTCAGTAATCTAGATATAAAACACCAAAAAATATATACCTAAATACATTGAACTATTGGATTCAAACTAACATTCCGTGATCCATGAAACTAAAAGGGGAAACACTCATGTTAGAAACCCCACACATCAAAACAAGCATCTAGGAGAGAAAATGACCAGGGTTTTGAATCGTTATTTTGATGCTAAGGATTCACCAACTTCTGTCCCTTAAGGTCTTTTAGCTTCAAGTTACCCTTCTCCCCAACTAAGAGCATTCAAACTGTGAGGGAAAAGATGGTTTGGTCTTAAGCCTTCTAGGTCTTGCATTATGGCAAGAATAGTCCTTGAAAGCCCCATGTTCACAAAATAAACCCATGCTGGATTTTTTTTCTAACATTACTAGTCCTTAGGTTCCTAGTTTGAACAAATTAAAATTATTTCTAAGGTCCAAATCTAGTTTTAAAATGTTAAAAGAAAAAAAAAATTAAATACCTTAACTCCAATTATTGAAAAGTCACCTCTTGTCTTATAACTGTTGAAGTTTGAGTTCTAACATTTTTAATTAATTACTACTATTTGATTTAAACAGTTAATTTATGAGATCAAATTTACACTTACATGCCAAAAGTTATATCCTATATTACGGGTGTTACAAAAAAGTATTGTAAATTGCAAAAAGATCATTTATAAAGGTGTCAAAGTGATAAAAATATGACTAAAGTCATTTTTAAGTTTCTTCGGAGTTACGACATACCAACGATTGTTGTAGTGGGTGGTGATACGTTCCCAAAATGAAGAATGTTTTTTACGTTGCAAATACATTCTTTCTACAAAGACTACTTTGATCTATTAGACTATGGGAAGTGAGTATGGTTTGGCCGCACTTTTTGTCTGATAGGTAGGGGAACACCGCCTCTTTATGCGGTTTTGGATGTAGTTTTACAGCACCTCTCCCTTCAAATGCTGAGCTTTTAATTGGTTAAATGGGTATATGACCATTGATAGTCAAATGGTATATATATATATATATATATATATATATATATATATATATATATATATATATATATATATATATATATATATATATATATATATTTTACCTATAAAACCCAACTTTCACCCATTATTTCTTCAAACCAAAACTAACTTTTTACATTTTTATATATTTTTTCTCTCAAAATCAGTAGAAAATGGTTTCATCTACGTGCTTTGAAGAATTTCAAATTATTTTTGATGTTGTTGTCATTTGTGGTCAAATGGCCGAGCAAGCGTATGTTGCTTGTGGTCAAATCCTTTGATGTGTGTTTTTTAATGTTATGGTATGTTGTTTTTTTTTAAGTAATGCAATGTAATGCTTTTTTTTATTTTAAGTAATGAAATGTTTTTATTAAAAATGAAGTTTTTATATTTTAAAATTTAATTTAAGAAAAACATCTTAAAAAATGAGTGTGACACCACTCTTTTGATATGATAAAAAACTACACATTTGTAGTAAATGCTAACGTAACACCTACGTAACAGTATGGTAACATGAGAGTGTCCGACACGACTCCCTCCGGCTATCACGTCCACGTATGTCAACACCAATATCTAGATCAATAGATTCAAACCCTATTTGTGTTAGGGTTGGAAACTGGTCACCATCTTGGATGTGAATATTGTCAAAAATGACAACACGTATCTTCCGTGATTCGTTGAAGACATAAACATTGAATATGGTTGTGGATTATCATAAAAATAGTAGGCATACGGCATACCAAAGTGGTTAGGAATTTCCAACCAATATTCAGTGGGTGTTGGAAATATTTGATAGCATTTGATTAAGAAAGGTTACTAAAATTTATTATTAATAATTAGAAGAAATGTACGGAAAATACACTGGTTGAAAGGACAAAATTGAGAATTTATAGAATTTTGGTAGAAAAAAACAGTTAACTTTTTTTTAAACGGTTTATACATATACACAAATCTACTATTCTATTCATAAATCTATATTTTTCATCCACATCAGACCTTCAATCTTCGTGTCTGAGAGAGACATTTATTTGTTAACTTCTGATTACGTTAGGCCGAAGTTAACTACTACGTACATTTATTCATAAAATAAAATAAAAAATGCATGTATAAAAAATCAACATGTGTTTGTACCTTTTGTTTTTGACACATTTGGTTTTCTCGCACTAGAGGCGATGAAGCTCCTCAACAGAGTCCAATAGATCATGCACTCTACTGTTATATCTCCTAGATTTACAGATGTTGTTTTTAAAAGAATTAGTTTTGATATCCAGAAAGGACAGCTTGTTGTCTGTTTGCCTTCCATTGATATATATATTGAACTATAGTATGCTTTTAATATACAAGATAAAGCTGAGTTAGAAAAAATAAATAAATAAATAAACTGAAATTGCTCTAATCTTATGAAATTTTATTATAAATAAATAAATATAGACCATCTAATTACGTTTTAGGTAGATTACAGAAGGATATAACATTGTTTAGCTAATTGCTACTTATGAACTTTTTTTTTGGTAATTGAGAACCCAGAAAAAGGTATTGCTACTTCCTAAACTTCTTTTTATTTGAGATCATGTTGAGAAACATGTTTACTGCTTAATATAATTCAATCATAAACTTGGAAATAAGAAAAAATAGACTTTCTAATTTGGTATGTTTGTTTGTAGGTTGAAGAAATAAAAAAATTGTTCCTGTTGGAGTAATATTTAGTAGAGCTGAAGGATAGCTGTGCAGATTAAATAAAGTTTAAGGGACAGAAGGGAATAAGTTGAAGTTATAGATGCGTTGCTCTTGTACTATTGCAGTTATTAATTGTACTCTATTCCTTAATACTAATATTATAGTAATAGCTATGTATAATATATACTAGTATGAGTCATTGAGTCTGACATTAGGCACTTAATGGAATAGGTGAAATAAGTATACTTTATATAAGTCGGTCTTATGACAAAAGTAAAGAGTTGTAGATGATATAATTTTCTTGTTTTCTCTTGTATATATTTTTCTCTTAGTAGATTAGGTTATTTTGTATGTTCTTAGAGTTAAGGTAGTGTAGGTAAATGTAATGAGAACTTTGTACGTAAGTATGAGTTCTTTTTAATAATAATAATAAAAAAAAACAAGTTATATTTCTTAAGAGATC